ATATAATTTAAAGCTGTGACATTTCTGGACACATAGAGACAGATGGGGACAGACGGATACAGCTGATTTCAGGGCAGAGACACATGCGGATCATTCCTACCCTACAAAAGTACATTCACCATTGTAAACCTCATGCACACCACAGGGAGGCAGACTGGAGCCAAGACTAGATACTGCCCCCGAGCTGCCCCCCTCCAAACAGAACATCTTTGGGGTGAGGTGACACCTACCTGATAATCTGCGGGGAGGGAAAAGAGAAAAGACAGATATTAGTTCTCATGTTGGAACTTCATTCACTTTATCACAGTGTATGATACTTGTAGGTTTTGTTCTATAGTGCTGCTCTTACCTCGGACGTCACCGCTTATGTCCCCGTAACTGTCATACTGGGCGAAGTCCGTGGACACCGGCTGCAGCAAAGGAGAGAAAAGTCACTGCTGGTGTACGGAGAGGGGTTTGCCGATTGTAACTTTAAATTGCAATATAAATACCAATGATAGAAAAATAAATCACTTCCCTCACTTAGGGGCTGATTTATAAATCTTCCACCCAGCGTAAGGCCGAGCAAATGCTGTTTCCACGTCATTACCGCCACTAGATGGAGCAGAGAAGCATGCTAGTGGTGGTAATGAAGCGCAAACGGCATTTGCCCAGCTATACATCATCACCGCCACTAGATGGAGCCGGAGAACACAGAAAGTTCCTATGCTCCTCGGCGCCATCTAGTGGCAGTAATGACAATCGCATGGTGGAGACTTGTCAATCAGCCCCATAGTAAATATCATTTTAATAAATTAAAGGAGAACTATGAGGTTAAGGCTTTCCCCCATAGTTCTCCTTAGGGTAACGGGAGGACACAAACTAGCGTCCTCCCGTCACCCTAGGCTCAGTATATAGGGAGCTACAGCTCGCGGTATACTGAGACGCCGCAGCCGGAGCGGATCCCGCCGTAGATGACGGAATCCGCTCGGCTGCGTGAGTGACAGCTGGCTCTGCCTATCTAGAGGCAGATCCAGCTGTACCCGCCACCTCCCCCGTCCGTTCCGCCAGTCAGCAAAAGGAGCTGCCTGGAAACAGAAACCCCTGTGTCTATTATTTTATTGCTAGAATATGTAGAAGTAGAAGGCAGTGAGGGCGCCACACTGGTATTTTATTAGATAATAATTAGAATAAGAAGGCCAAAACATGTCGGGGGTTCAGACACTTCATCAGGGGCACACAAAGGGGAACATATAAAGGTTCATAGGAAATAATACAAATTCATCTTATAGAGGATCTATTATTCATAATGTTTCCTTTATTATTATTATTATTCAGGATTTATATAGCGCCAACAGTTTGCGCAGCGCTGTACAAGATGAATTGTATTATTTCATATGAACCTGTATATTTTCTCCTTTGTGTTGTAGCACTGATGCAGGAGGAGTGTCCGGACCCCCCAAAACGCGTAGGATTTCCTATTCTACTGATTATCCAATAAAACACCATTTTGGGCTCTTTGGCCATTGATGCGGCGCCCCCACTGCCTCCTCCATAGCTGGATTTACCCCAAGACTCCCCTCCTCCTGGGAGTGCTCAGGTACATGGGACTTTGCAGTGTATATATTACATTGTCGATTATTTCCATTTTGTTACTAGAAAAGAAAGCACAAATATTTCAGGGAAAGCCAGCTGGATAAAAATGGGGGGGGGGGGCGCTTGTTCGCGGCACTCAAAGGGGTGATTTGCATGTCTCCACCCACTGTCCTATTACGAGGGTTACGCCCCTTATGCTTCCAGATAAGATGGCAGAGGTTACTTTGTGACTTCATTGCTGATATCAGTGGAGAGGAGAAGTTTTTGTAAAGTCCCGTGAACCCCCCACCATGGTAAAGGCGGCGAGGAAATGGGTCACACGGAAGGCCGACCCGAGCGTGCTGTGAGCTGACATTTCACAGGAGGGTCTGGCTGTCCTCACGGGGGAATCACAGCCGAGTATTATGAATATTACATGAAAGTCAATGTGGATCCCACGCCTGCTCCATCGCTGCTAATTAGCTACATTGTATCGATATGTAAACACTTCCTCCTCATATAATGATTTCAGTCGTTTCAAAACAAATGGGTTACAGTTCGGACTATAAATAAATGTTCACATCGCCCCCCAGAAGCACATATCATCATAAACCTATCATGTAACCTTTCTGGGAAAGGGGGGGGGCGGAGTTATAACCTTTTCCTTGCTCATTGTGGAGATTTCCCCTCACTTCCTGTACAGGTGAGAACATTGACACAAACAGGAAGGGACGGGAATTATCCCCAACAGGGATACATCGCAACATGAGAACATGATAGGTGTTGTAATCCTTCCCCACTCCATCCAAAACATCCGCGCTATATAAACATTGATCTCTTTACATTCAGCCTGTCTGCATTCTGCACTGTACATTGTGGGGAACTGCATATGTACCGGCCAGCAGTGGCGTAACAATCGTCATAGCGACCCAGGCGGCCGCTATGGGGCCCGGGCACAGGGGGGCCCAGCCTGGGTCGCTATGGCATGTGGGGGTGCTGGATGTTACAGACACAGCTCAGCAGCGGCCGCGGCGCATTTCCACTCATAGCCGCTGCGGAGCTGTGTCAGTGTCAGCCAGCTGCTGCTGCAGACGAGGGCTGTGTTCGGAATGGAGGCGGGGCCCGCCTCCTCTGACATCACTGGCCAGCGACCAGTGATGTAAGAGAAGGCGGGGCCCGTTGATAGCAGAAAAGGCGGGGCTCCGGGACGGAACAGGAGTCGGGTCCCCGGCGACCACAGAGGCGCTGACAGGTAAGAGATCTCAGACCCTGCAGAGCCCACTATAGAGAGTCTATGGTGGGCTCTGCAGGGTCACTCTCCGCTGGGGCTCTGCAACTAGCAATCACGGGGCCCCATACAAAATTTTACTATGGGGCCCTGTGATTTGTAGTTACGCCCCTGCCGACCAGGCAAGCAGGGTGTCAGGAGTCCCTCTGTGCACGCATTCTGCTTTCACAATTGGCTGGTAGGGATCACATGGGACGGAGAATGGACATGACTTGGTATGCAGGGTCTGCCTTCTGTTATCATTTACTCCCCAATCGCATGGGAAACTCCACCAGCAAAACCTCAGTATAGAAATTGTTATTTATGGCTGCCAGCACTGAAGACATTGAATCAAACCGGGATCAGGCGCTTCCTGGGTTGTCCTAAGTCCTGGTCTGCGGTGACATACTGCAGAAAGGCAGAATGTAAACAACGCAATGTTTACACTGGTTTGGATCTGTGATGACCACCATCAAAGCGCATGGAAGGAGAAGGCCGATCCAACTGGTCACACTTCCACAACTCCTGATATAAGTCGGTAAATTGCCGACTTCCCAAAAACATTTCATCAATAAGTGAACTATTATAACTGGGGATGCACTGATGCCGGTTTTTCGGTATTGAGTACCGATATTTTTTTCCCCGGTACTCGCCGATACCGAATACCGAGTACCGGAAGTCCCATTAAGGAAGCCAGGCGGTGTGTAATGAATCGCCACACGGCTTCCCGATTGGCTGGGAAGCCGTCTCCATGCTTCTCGTCACTAGGCAACGAGAAAGTATGGAGCCGGATGCCGCGTCATTGCATGGTGTCCGACTTCCTGATTGGCCCGGGAAGCCGGCTCCCTCTTCACAAGTGACGAGGGAACACGGAGCCAATCTGATACCAGAAGCTCAAGTATCGGGCTAGGTATCTGAGCATTTGGGTGAGTACGGGTACTCGCCCAAATACTCGGCATCGGCACCGATACTGACACTAGTATCGGTATCGGTGCATCCAGTGGCGTAACAATCACCATAGCGACCCAGGCTGTCGCTATGGGGCCCGGGGGAAAATGGGGCCCGGCCAGATGCCGTGCGGGCCGCCTGGGTCGCTATGGGACCACAGAGTCAATGAGAGCCGGCAGCGGCGGGGGAGCAGGCTGGACCCGGTGTTCTATCAACGTCGCGAGCCTCCGACGTCACCGGCAGTGGAGGAGGAGGCGGGCCCGTGCTCGGCAGCAGGGGAGGAGGCGGGCCTCGGTGACGAAGAAGGAGGCGGGCCCGGTGACGGAGGAGGTAAGGAGTGCGACCAGCCCACCTGAGGGTGACCCTGCAGAGCCCCCTCAGGTGGGATCTCGAGTGGGCTCTGCAAGGGGTATAACTAGAAATCACGGGGGCCCCATACAAAATTTTGCTATGGGGCCCTGTGATTTCTAGTTACGCCCCTAGTTACGCATCCCTAATTATAACTATCTGCATGGAGTTTGCCTCTCCTTCCTGTGCTGTGCGGGTTTCCCCCGGGTACTCTGGTTTCCTCCCACACTCCAAAGACACGCTGGAAGGTTAATTGGCTCCTGTATGTGTGTGAGATGGGGACCTGAGATTGTAGCTCCTTCAGGGCAGGGACTGATGTGAATGTGCACTGTGTAAAGCACTTTGTAAATCGTTGGGCGCTCTATCAATACCTGTGATAGATAAAATAAATACACAAACTGTCCACACGAATTCTTCTTACCCGGTGGAGTCCGTTGCGCCCGTACCCCGGAAGAGATGACGTCTTGGACGCGTCGGAGTGGAGAGCTGCAGCGAGAATTATTCATCTTATTATATTTGTGAATCAACTTTTTGGGTAGAAAACAAAAAAATTTAAAAAGTTTGACGGAAAATACTTTTCTCAGTGGAGAATGAACATTTTGGGAACAAAGTTTGATAGATGAGGAGAGCTGCAACGTCCCAGAATCCCCTCCCCCGCGTACAGGGCAGCCATCAGAAATTTTGGGGCCCCTTACACGGCTTTAGGCCGGGCCCCCCGCCCCCCCCACTGGACGCAGGGCTTAGGGACGCGCTGGACGCAGGACCCACCGGAGAGTGACCCTGCAGAGCCCACCATAGATGCTGCACAGCCCATCTGAGACTGTCTATGGTGGGCTCTGATGGGGTCTCAGGTGGGCTGGTCAGAGCTGCACCCCTCCCCTCCCCTCCTTTCCTTCCTAGCGCCTCTTACCTGCACACGTGGCCTCATCTGCCACCGGACCGGCCAGAAGTGAGGTCACTTCCTGCCAGTCCGACATCAGACGACTAGCTTGTCTCGAAGCCGCTGGAGCGGCAATGCTGGGGCCCTCTGCCGCTAGGGCCAGGCCTCCGAGGCTGCTGCTGAGGGGGCCCGGCCGCCTCCTCGCCCGTCACTGTCTGACGATACTCATGTAGGGCTGCCCGGGCCCCTTACGTGAGTATCGGCCGTAACCCCCCTGATGGCAGCCCTGGGTACTGGATCCACAACTAAATACCAGGAAACTGACACTGGAAAATGTACTCGACACTACCAACTGGCAGTGCAGTGATCAACAGACAACAAGAAATCAGGTACAAAAAACCCGGGCCCCTTACATGAGTATCGGCCGTACCCCCCCTGATGGCTGCACCTGCCCGCGTATAAAGTCCACGAATCGCCCCGAATCACGGAACCGCCACCTACCGGCCAAGACGGCGGGGTCGTATCGGCTGGCGGAGTGCGGCCTCTCTCGGCTCTCCTTCTCCTCCTTCAGTATCAGCTGACCCAGACCCGAATTCAGCTGAAGACGGAACCACATCAAACATGAGCTATGAACACGACTGTCACCGGGTAATCGGAAACAATGTAACAAATATACGTAAAGACATCCCGTTCACCATCCCCCGCTTCCGCTGGAGCGCTGTGAGGGTCTGTCCCTAGAGACGGACACTTCACACGCCTCATACATCCGAGTGGAAGCAATTCTCAGCCTTTCACTGATTGGCTCATCTGACGATTTTACAAACATTGTTTCCTTTCTATAAGAAGAGATGAAACGACGGATACTTTGTATCGCTCACCTTCATTAACTGCTCCTCCTGCACCTGGCGACGTTTTAACAGTTCCTCGTCATCTTCATCCCGGCCGCTCGACCGCCTCCTGGGGTCACCTAATCCCCGAAAATAATAACACGACAATGAATCCTCTAATGTGGTTAACAAGCTATTAGCCCTCAAGGGTCCAACCTGCTCACTGACTAGGAAGCAGAACCTCCAGGCCGCGCAGAGTCTCCACTGGGCTGATGTCCCGCAATCAACTAGAGCCCAATGGAACTCTCGGGTCAAAAATGCGAAATTCATTGCGGGCGCATCAAGCAGGAAGGTGTGCAAAGTCGTGCAGTGCGTTTCCTTTAGTAGAAAAGCCGGTCCCCTGCCAGCGTGCTTCAGAGAAGAAGCCTTGCTCTCTATGTGGAAGCAGTGGTCTCTCTGCAGAGGTCCAACACACTCTCCGCTGAGTCAGAGATATAGCTCTGTGACCTGCAAAGGTCATGCACCTTGATGATCAGAGAGCTCTCGTCCGAGCTCAGCAGAGGGTGTGTTGAACCTCTGCAGAGAGACCACTGATTCCAGGGAGCTATAGGTCTCAGACGGCAGGGGGGTGTGTTAGACCTCGGCAGAGAGACCACTGCTTCTACATGGGGAGCTATAGGTCTGATTAAGCAGGGAGTGTGTTGAACCTCTGTACAGAGACCACTGATTCCAGGGAGCCATAGGTCTCAGACGGCAGGGGGCGTGTTAGACCTCAGTAGAGAGACCACTGATTCCAGGGAGCTATAGGTCTCAGACGGCAGGGGGGCGTGTTAGACCTCAGCAGAGAGACCACTGCTTCCACACAGAGAGCAAAGCTCCTTCTCTGCAGCCTGCTGGCAGGGGACCGGCTCCTCTACTTTCTAAAGAAAATAAACTGTAACACTTTGCACACCTTTTATTATGCATCTGCGATATATTTCGCTGATTTAAACATGAAACTCAGTCGGCCTTAAACGCGGCTCAGTCTGCATCAGCGGAAACACTGGGACGTGACAGGTCCACTTGAAATGTTGCTTTTGTTTTTCTTTTAATAAAGGCTGATTAGGCTCCCGGATGTATACAATACAGAGGGACGATTGTTCCGGGACATCCGAGTGTCACTGTATCAGGGGATACGCTGCAGATAGTAACTCCGGATAACATGTGACACATGCCTGGGCCCCCCAGGGGCTGAAAACACAAGTTGTATACGGCTGATTGCGGATCCACCTACATCAATGTGAATATTGTGTCTGGAATGCTATATATAGATGTACAGACCCCCCCAATATGGCACAAGGCAGCTGTAGATAAAGACTCGGGGGGAGAAACCAAAGTTGAAGTGTGTATAAAGCCTGTGCTGTGCGTCGCAGCGCCATTCATATAGAACGGCACCCAACGGGCAACGCAGCACAACACGCATGCCGTACATTGTGGTGAGCTGTGCCCCAAGCAATGCCCACTATTTATAATCCGCTGCCATGTGTGGGCAGCCCAATGATTGGGCGTCCTTAAAGGAGAACTATGGGGTTAAGTCTTTTCCTCATAGTTCCCCTTAGGGTAACGGGAGGACACAAACTAGCGTCCTTCCGTCACCCGAGGCTCAGTATATAGGGAGCTACAGCTCGCGGTATACTGAGACGCCGCAGCCGGGACAATTGTGTCTGGATCCGCCCAGCTGCGTGAGTGACAGCTGGCTCCGCCTATCTAGAGGCAGAGCCAGCTGTACCCGCCCCCTCCCCCGTCCGTTCCGCCAGTCAGCGCTGGTGGATCGGAGCGGGGAGGGGGGAATCTAGCCCCTCCCCTGTCATGGCAGAGAGCCGTGACAGGATCGAGAGGTGAGCGAGCGCCGGTATGTGTTCGCTCACCTCCCGATCTACTGAGCCGACCTGTGACAGTCTTATTGTCACAGGTCGGCTAGAACTATGAGGTGAGTGAAAAGCACCCCCCCTCCCCCCTCATAGTTCTCCTTTAATGCAGCACATGCTCATGCAGCAAATATCACAATGTATTTATATATATGAAGATAGATATATAATACCCGCCCCCTCCCCCGTCCGTTCCACCAGTCAGTGCTGGAGGATAGGAGCGGGGAGGTGGGAATCCAGCCCCTACCCTGTCACGGCAGAGAGCCGTGACAGGATCGAGAGGTGAGCGAGCGCCGGTATGTTTTCGCTCACCTCCCGATCTACTGAGCCGACCTGTGACAGTCTTATTGTCACAGGTCGGCTAGAACTATGAGGTGAGTGAAAAGCACCCCCCCTCCCCCCTCATAGTTCTCCTTTAATGCAGCACATGCTCATGCAGCAAATATCACAATGTATTTATATATATGAAGATAGATATATAGATATGAAATATTCAGGATGTTTGGGGCACTCCTTACATCAACAAAAAATACACCGAACGTGTTATTGATTATTTTTGGCCATTGGTGATCCCTACAATGTAAAAGCCGCACTGTAGGATACGGACTTGTAGTAAGCACATTGATTTCCAAATCAGGAAAATCAAAAGCAGCCACTGTGTCCCATCCACAAAGGGGCGGGATGATTGTGCTGACATCACCGACCTTATATGGCCTTATATATTTGACCAAATATAGCCATGTGGCCATATAAGGTCAATGACATCACACCATCCCTCCCCTTTGCTTACGTCCGGCTGTGGATGGTGAATTCCCCGGCCGCAGCTGGTTGGTCGGCAGTGGAAGGCGCTTCCCTGAGGGCCCGTTCACACCAGTCGCAGTGCGTCCCGGCCCGATTCTGGCCGGAACGCACTGCCTCGCATGGCGGCCGGCTCACTTTTTAGTGGGGCAGGAGGGGGCATGGCGGGCCATTGAAGTGAATGGCAGCATAGCCCCGCCCTCCAGCCGCAATGTGATTGCCCGCTTGGGATCACAAGGCACATTGTGCCTGCGGTCCGGTGCGATCAAAATGCTGCAAGCACTATTTTGATCACACCATACTGGACCGGACCGCAGGCACAATGTGCCTTGCGATCCTGTGCGGGTGATTGCATTGCAGCGGGAGGGCGGGGCTACGGTGCCATTCACTTCAATGGCTCGCCACGCCCCCTCCTGCCCCACTAAAAAGTGATCCAGCCGCAATGCGAGGCAGTGCGTTCTGGCCACTCCAACTGGTGTGAACGGGCCCTTAGGGCTCAGATGCGTTCAGGTTCAGATTGGGTTGGGTCCAAACCTCAGCTCATCCCTAATCCCTACATGTCTCACTCTTCCCTGCTCCATCCAAAGCAAAAAAAATGTTTTGCCTCTACATACACTTTAACCACTTGCTGGCCGGCTGTAGAGCCGTCCGAACGCTTGTCTATAACAGCCAGCAACGGCTGTTTAGATTCCCGGCGGGGACCTGTCTGCGGGCGCACGCAACCAGGAAGCAAATCACATACACAGACGGACTTCAAGGGGTTAAAGTGGAACTGCAGCCAAAACCTGTTTCTTTTTAGTCAGAATGCAGAAGTGTTATAACCCAAAAGGTTTATAGTTGTCACCAGAACAGAAGTAGGAGGAATATCTGATCACATGACACCTGTTAATGGTGGACTTTTACCTCACTCATCCTCCTGTCTTTGTGTGTGGTCACCAGGACAGGAAATGAGTGGAGACCAACCCAGAGGGGACAGAGCTAAAAAGCTGACAGAGATTCCAACCTTTTCTATTTAATCCAAAATGAAAACATATATTTGACTGGATGGGCTTTACATACGACAGATATATGCAGCTCTATAGATCCCGGAGATCCCCAAAATTAATTTTCCTGCAGAGGGATCCACAGATCCTCGTGTTTCGAAAATAAATGAACAGTAGGCCAAATCCAAACTTCAAAGAGTTGATCCAAAGATCCTTGAGATTCTAAACAATGACTGTAGAGCTGCAGGATCTATAGAGTGCAGAAAATCACACGTTATGAAGCACAGAAAACCTCCACAGAATGACGTGTGATTTGTGGAACACGGAAGGTGGAGAGACGATGGGAACATAAAGATCAATGCAGTAGGTAGTGACACATTGCTTGTTTCATGAGCTGTATCACAGTCCACATGCACAGGGGGATCCAACAGGGCAGCTCATACACAACATGGCCAAAGGTTTGTGGACTCCTGACCATCACACCTTCCTATATGACAAAAAGTATGTGGACCGCCCTCCAAAAACTTCAGGTGTCTCCAATGAAGGTTCTGCTAATACTCCATCATACAAAGGCATTGTAGACAATTGGGTTCTTCCAGCCTTGTGGTCACAGTTTGGTGAAGACCCTTTTCTGTCCCACCATGACTGTCCCCTGTGTACAAAGCCAGCTCCATAAGACATGGTGTGACCAGTCTGGTGGAGGAACTCGAGTGTCCTGACCTCATCCCTACTGAACACCTATGGAATAAAAGACAATTATGGTCTTCCAGCCTTGTGGTCACAGTTTGGTGAAGACCCTTTTCTGTTCCCACCATGACTGTCCCCCGTGTACAAAGCCAGCTCCATAAGACATGGTGTGGCCAGTTTGGTGTGGAAGAACTCAAGTGTCCTGACTTCAACCCTACTGAACACCTTTGGGATGAACTGAAACACTGATTGTGAGCCCGGCCTGCTCATCCAACAACATTACCTGACCTCTCAAATGGCACAACTGACCTCTCAAATGGCACAAGGCACGGAGTCCACAAAGCAGAAGCCATATAGTGTAAATGGCGGCTATCATGTGACAGAGGTGGATCTACAACTCTCCATGGAATTTCAAAGCAACAAAATGGTCAAATTATCATATAAGCCCATTGGAATTGTATAGCAAAAGTAAAGAGCCAGTCCACCAAACTGATACATCAGTCATAGAAGCTCCTAATGGTTTCTTATATCTCAGAGACTCCATCGGTGCGATCTCTGCATCAATTCTCAGGTTCACCCAACTGCTACAAGCACATGTACTGTGTGTTGGATTTTGCACACATTGTAGGCTCGGTAGAATACAGTTGTTGCAGTGAGACCCCCCAGCAAACATGAACAGAGCAGGAGATTTCAGTGTCGGAGTCTCCAAGCTACCGTTGATGACTGAAATGCATCAAATTTTTATTTTCCTGTATATATCAGTTTTGTTAAATATCCCCCATTGTATGTACGTGTTTTGTGGAGGAGATCCTAGCTCAGAAAGCTCATAATGTGCTTAGTCAGCAATCCCACATCTCATATCTATCAACATCAAGGGTACAACCTAGCCATAGCAAACCATGTGACTGATATGGGGCCCGGGGTTTTCTGCCTATACAGTGAACTCTGCAGGTCACAATAGCATCTGTGAAGTAAACATTGATATAATGTGTGTGTGTATATACAATAGTTTGAAATCCTCTGTAAACTGTATGCAAGCGGTAAGTATTCTCTATCGGTAGAAGAACTGGACATTAAAGAGACAGGGGGGCCCCTTATGGTTTTGCTGTTGAACCCCATTACACATAGTCACAGCTCTGATCAATATTTACACATAGATGAGACTGTAGTCCTGCCAATCCCAGCTAATGAACACCATAGAGATGACAGGACGCCAGGACAAACAGTCTCACCAGATTGGATCTTCAGGGAAGGACAACAATTACAGACAGCTGAAAAGGTTTGAAGATTCCTTTGCCGCTTTGCCCGTCCTTCTGGGCCCACCGGCAAAGTTTAAGGGGAACAGAGCCATGTCGCGGGGCAGTTCGGTTTGCCTACCTATGGCGGCGAGTGAGGGTGGACCTGGCCAGTAGTCGGTCTCAGTCTTTGGGACTTCGTTGGGTGCTGGAGCGTAGGCGGCCGGAAACTTGGAGGATTTGATGATATCGTCGGAGCTGTTGACGAAGGCTGCCATGGCAGCTGCATCTGGATGGGATCAGGGAGGAATTCGTATGGCTCAGTGGGTAGAACGTGCCAAGGCAGGAATGCCAACCTTCTGAACACCTCACCCCCTCCCCCACTATCCTGAAACTCACCAGTCTGTAGGATGAGTCTATACAGGAATGTAAAATATATATTTTGTATCAAATTGTTGCAATTACAATGGATTGGGTAATAATTGTTACATTTTTGAAACATTGTTTAGTGATTTTGATGCAAATTGTAAAATACTTTGTCAAAAATATATCTCGTCAGGGACACCCCTTTCCTGAGCTTGGCCTGCTATTCCCACTGGACATCTCCTACATATGTCTGCCCTACACTGGCATATCCTCCCCATCCTCCTAATCCTACAAGTCTGCTCTCTGAGGGAGGTTTTGGAAAGATTATAAGATATAATTCAGAGAGTTATGCTGGCAATGCATTATCTGTAAACAATGGACCAAAAAAAACAACCCCCCCCCCTTTAAATGTTTTGCAGTTCATATAGGATCCCCGGCATGTTTCACGCACACATTTTTTAACTTAAATCGCTGGCCCGGTTTCCCATTGCCCCGGTCCGTGGACGGAGCCAACCCGTTAATTGGAGACACGGGTGATTGTGCAGAAAATGTGCGCATTCCTCGGCCGTGTGATCCTGGAACGCTGCAACCCCAGCGAAAATATTTGTGTCCGGCCCCAAAAAGCTGCTTCTGATTTTCAGCAAAACATTTTTCCTTCCCTTGCAACGAGTTTCACCCAGAAGAGGCCGCTCGGCTTAATCCAAGAATTCCATTCAACGGCTTAGGAACTGCTTCTACTTTCTCGGCTTAATTATTTTCAGATTAGGAGTTTATAACATTGTAAATCCCACAAATGTCGCGGTGAAAGGCAAGGCGGAGAAAGAAAATGTATGAACATCACCTATTCTATTCTATTCATACCCCCCACAGGGTCTCTTAAGAGGACCTGTCAGGATAGGAATATGGAATTTGCCATTGTTGAATTATTTAGTATTTGGAAGGTGCAGGCTCCAGGGTTTATCATTCCCATCTACACTTCACTACCTAGAGATTCACTGAGCTGGAACTAGTTAGTATTCCAACCAGATATGTGGGGTTATCTTATACAATATATGTTAACCTAAATACATCGTCACCCAGTGGGAATGACTTTATTAAAATAGCATATGAAAATCTCATTTCTGCCCCAAAAAGGTGATACCAAAACTAGATGACCATCGAAAAATGTGTGTGTGTGTGTAAATCATATGCATATATATATATCAAAGTAAAAGCAGTGAAGCGCCACGAACTGTCAATCCTCAATGGGAAATCATCTTGGGCATACTGCAGGATGCTGCCCCAAAAAAGCCGGGAAAGCTGAGAGTCTAGAAAATATGCACATAGGGGGCAACTTCATATAAATCACCAAAGAAACATACAACATTAAAAAAACAAAACACTAAGGGGGTTATTCCCTAAAGAGCCGAAGGATCCAGCTGTAGCTTCGGCTGATCCTTCTGCTCACTTCGGCCGCCAGAGCTCTTTGGTTCACTGGAACTGGAGGGGTGCTGTAAAGACTATTCACAATAGCTCATACAGCAGCCGAAGGCAGCCGAGCGGCTCAGCCGATCCAAACGCATATGTGCTTTTGCTCGGCTGAGCTGTATTGACACTCGAAGTGTGGAGAACGGTCAGCTGAAGCCGACCGATCTACACGCAAATGACAGCTGGGGACGCTGGCCGGCTCAGCCCAGTTGTTATTTATTGCCCGGGACCGGTTAGAAGACTCTCGCAGGTGCCGGCCAATAGGAAACAGTTGGGCGGAGCTAGCGGTGATGTCCAATTGTTTATATTTTGCCGGCATCTGTCACATTTGACATTATGCGGTGAGAGTTCGTCGCGTGCGTGTTTTTTTTTTTTCCTTTTCTTTAAAATATTTTTAGTTATTTTTTACATTTTCCTATTTTTTTTAAATAGGAGGTACCGAGCAGAATAGCCGAGCCGCATGCCACTCGGCGTCATTCGGCTATTCACTCACTCTGGCCCCTATGAGAATAGGGCGAACGTCAGCGAGTGAGCTGCCGGAACCTCGGCTCAGCCCATGCAGATGTTGGATCGGCTGAGTCGAACTCCTTCTGCACTTCGGCTCATATGAACATGCCGAGCATATGCGGCTGAGTGAAGGCAGCTGATGCACGGCTGAAATCATTCGCACAAGACTGAAGTGAATAGCCGAACAGCGTTTGGCTCACTTCACTTCGGCTGGGTTATTCACTCGGCTGCCTTCGGATGCTTTGTGAATAAAGAACAAAATATACAGAGGAAGAAAATACACCAAAAGGAACCAAAAGAAATGGAAGATATCTATATCAGTACACCACAAGCTATTTTGCACATATATATATCTATCTGTATGAAAGCGTGGCTTCAAGCTGCACTTTCAGAGACATAGATATATGTGTGAAGATAGCTTGTGGTGTACTTCTATAAATATATATCTATAAACTAACATGTGGTCCATTGCATCTTAAGAGGAAGACTATATTTATCGTTTTAATCGTTTTTGTTTCTTTTTGTGGGGGGTTTTTTCTGTATATTTTGTTCTTTTGGTGCATTTTTTTAGTTTATTTTCAGTAAGTTTGTTAAAATATTTTTAATTTGTTTCTTTAAATGTAATATTGTACGTTTCTTGCTTGGTGATTATATACAATGTTACACTTTAAAGGAGAACTATGGGGTCAGGGCTTTTCCCCATAGTTCTCCTTAGGGTAACGGGAGGACACAAACTAGCGTCCTCCCGTTACCCTAAGCTCAGTATATAGGGAGCTACAGCTCGCGACCTGCGCGATTATGATCTTTTAAGGCTGAATATTCAGGTTATATTTGACTAAGCCCCATCGTCACTCATTCTCTTTTTTTTTCTTTAAATTGACTCTGCTGGTAAATACTCAGATCTTTACTTCATGCCGTCAGGGAGGTGTAAACACTATGGATCCCATAAACTATCAGCATCACAGCATTAAAGTAGTGCAGATTGTGATTCTTACTTGTGAGACAAACAATGATTCTTGTTCCTGTTGAATGCGACATCACAACTCGCTACATTTTAAAGAAAATTTGCAATTTGTGCAACATATAATTAAAAAGGCTGCATGCGTTGTGGGCGCATAGAACAAGAGGATTAGTGCTCCATGCAGTAGGTGGCACAGGACTGCTTATAAACTATGATCAATGTCACACAATAGATACATTGTCACAATTTGCAACATTTTATGTGACAATTTGATACACAATTTCTCTGTCACATTTTCTCACTGCGCACCACCAATAGTTTATGGGGCTCATTGTGTCTAAATAAGATGTAAAAAAAAACATGGAATGGCCTATTCTAATAAAGGACCAAAATTGTCTTCATCCCTAAATGACTATCATGCTGTAATTTTTTTTTCAGAGGCAACTGTATTTTTTTCATCTTCCAAATAATTTCAATTGCTGGTTTCCTGGATTAGATTATGGAAAGCGGTGTCAGAATCAGACTTGTCACTTGAATCTCATAGAACGATGCAGCTTAAAGGAGAACTATGAGGTCAGTGTTTTCCCCCATAGTTCTCCTAAGGGTCCCGGGAGGACATAAACTAGCGTCCTCCCGTCACCCTAGGCTCAGTATATAGGGAGCTGCAGCTCGCGGTATACTGAGACTGCCGCTGCCGGGACGGATCACGACATTACTGTCGAGATCCACCCAGCTGCGTGAGTGACAGCTGGCTCTGCCTATCTAGAGGAAGAGCCAGCTGTACCCGCCCCCTCCCCCGTCCGTTCCGCCAGTCAGCGCTGGAGGATCGGACAGGGGAGGGAGAATCCCAGCAGGGAGCTGTGAGTGGCAGTCACGACTCTCTGCAGTGAGAGGATCAAGAAGTGAGCGAGCGCCGGTATGTGTTCTCTCACTTCCCGATCTATTGAGCCGACCTGTGACAGTTTAATTGTCACAGGTCGGCTCGAACTATGAGGATGAGTGAAAATCACTCCCCTCATAGTTCTCCTTTAATATAGAAAGCCCTTTTCTGCACTTGTCTGAAAACACAAACACAGAAAAAAATCTGAACAAAATAATTTACTGGATACTTCAAGAGCCTGCACAGCCATAAGGGAAGAAGTTAGCTTTCTCCGCCCTGCCTAAAAATATCGCAGCAGCAGAATTGGACATTCCGTGGACATCTGGACGCAAGCCTTATCTCTGAAATTGCATGCAATCCTGATATTTCCTCACAGTCATAGCTGAGGTTCCGGATTCCTTATAGGCAGAAATTAGAAGCAGTTCTATTCTGGATTGAAATGTCACATATTTTGTGCCGTCTGGAATAAAACAAAAAAATAAAGCAGACGCAGATCTCACAGAAGCACCAACCAGAAGATATTGGGAGTGATAATCACGTATATATCTATATACCTTTACCTCGTCTACATATCAAACCAACAAACCACCTAAAACAAAGCCACTTATTTTTTTTTGTAGATGAATTTTTTACACTTCTACGATATACAAAGTATCCTTTACTGTAATAACATCAACATCACAAATCAACACCCAATGTGTGTAAAGAAAGAAAGACGATTCACACAGTTGTTGATTTTCATCTTCTTTTTTTTATACACATTGATTTGATTTGATTTGTGATTGTGACACTGTCCATAGCAGAAGATACTTTGTATCATTTCCTTTATATATCTCCGAGGTTCTATACCTTTCAGGAAACTTTGGTTTTACTTGGTTTGTTTCTTTGATATGCACAGGTGGCACAGGTTACATGGGTTCCACTTGATTATGACTCTCTACTCTGGATTTAGTTCACCCCTAAATGTCTCTTTTTTTTTTTTAATGGATCAGCCAATCTGTCTCAAGTTTCATGTTAAATGATAAATATGTCACCTCACATAAACACTTCACAGAGAGGAGAAGACAGAAGGTCACCTCTCTCTCCTGCTCTATGGCACTGCCTGCCTGGAATGACCCCACTAAGGAGAGGATCACACCTCTTCCTGGTGCACAGCAACCCACAAAGCCTACAGCACCAAGACAGGTCCAAGAGAGGCTCATGCATAAATCAGAACCACCCAGAAAGTTAGAGGATTATAAAGGATTAGTGGCAGAGGGGGAGGGGGGGGG